AAGCAGAGAAAAGATCGAAAAAGATTTTGAGAGAGATTTTCTTAAAATGGTTGCAGATGATAGAGCAACAGAAAGTCTGCCTGTTGACATGCCCAAAAATTGTATGCTTTATCTTTATTTTTATTTTCTTTTTTGATATAATCTGAGTCACCCGCACTCAAATCAAATCGCTGCGGAGAAAGTTTAACGAAATCGCCAACCAAGGCCGAAAATTCAAAAGCCCGGTTTCATGATCAAAGAGCTCACTAAGAAGCAGTTATCTTGTTTTACGACGACTTGTTCAGTGTGACCCACAGTGGAAAGGAGGGCCTTTCCTTCAGAAAGTAAGCGGACTTTTCCGGATTATTTTAAAGGCGTGTTTTAGAGTAGGGGAGCGCGTATTTTTAACCATCAATAAGGACAGTACCATCGACTTCAAAGAGTTCCAGTACTTGATGTTCTTTCACAGCGAGGCCTCAAAAGAAGTCAAAAAGACCTGTAAGAGATAACTGCTTTATTCCTTTCGTTGATCAGTTTTTCCGTCAAGTTATTTACAAATTGCACGACTTGGATGAGGGCGGCGATGTGGACTGGAAGGAGTTCAGAACCGTGGCAAGACTGATGCGGGGAAAAGACGACAAGAAACAGTCGAAAGAACTAGAGAGGCAGATCAAGAGCGACTTCAAAGAAATGGCGGTTGGGAAACTAAAATCGCATTTTTTATCTTTTAGGGTGAAGTGGTGCTAACAGGGCCATATTCTTATCAGTCACAATTCTAGTGACATTATTGCCCTCGCCCCATTGAACTCCTTACGCGGTACCCACTCTGACCAGTTCTACCTCGCTTAGCCGCGCTGCCATAGCCATCCATCACACTTTTACGCCTTCTGCACCAACTTAGTGCCCTCTTTTTCCATTTCTCTCTGGTGCCAAGCCACCTCGAATCTCAACCCTTTATAACCAACTGTGCAGCCATAGTCAGGCATTCATTATCTGCAATATGATTTAAGTCACAATATATTTTGCCCTTAGTGGCACCCTAACTCTTGTCGACTTTCTATCCGCGGCCCAGTTGATCTACTTCAAGGGGAGGAGCTATCTCTCGTGGCCATTTCGTCAAATTTGCCTCTCGTGGCAAGTTGCCTCTCGTGGCCATTTGCCTCTCGTGGTCATCACGTATCGGCTTATTTGACGTAAGGCATTTAGATGATAAGTTAGGTGTGAAAGATTCTTTCGAAAATACTCCGAGAAGCATGGGTATTACTGGGATATTATTTCTTGAGACAAGCCAAACGAAATTATTAATAAATATGAGTGCAATAAAATTTTCAAATTGATCAAAAGTCATACTCTTTTCCAGTTTTTTCTGACAGAAAATAATAAAATTATTCAAAAAATTATTCTATCTTGATATTTCTTTATAGAATACTCGAAAATAACCTGACTTCTTAAAAATATGAGGTGTGTGAAATCTCCTCTTCGAGAAAAATTTGGATACCCTAAGGTTCGTTAGACTGATATCACTGATATCTTATAGAGGACCCTTGACTCTCTGGGGAATGCTGAAAAAATCAAGGAAAATCTTATCCTTCGCTTCTAGAGAGGGATGAACTCAATTATTCAAGAAGAGGTTCCTCTTTTGCTTGAAGACCTGAGAATGGGTTCTCCGCTCGATTTTAAAATATTTTGTAAATTAAGAACGTAGGTTGATATTTTTTGAGGAAATTTCGATGATTCCCCAAGGTTAAAGACTTGTTTTACCAAAATATTTAATTGTTACAGTCATATGAGGTCCTATGTTACATAGGCTATGTAGGCGTGAGAGGCTTGACAAATTTTTCCTAATTCTAACTTTATGACAAATTTTTTCGACTTTCATTGAGCTTATATAAAATTGAGCTGGTTAGAAAGGGTTGAATTTGGCTCAAAATGAACCCAAATAATTAGGAAAGTGTAAATCGAGAAAAAGTAATTTTCGAAAATTTTCATTTTTGGTTCGATTTGTAGAATCTAGAGGCTGTGAGTTCTCGTATTTCTGTCACTTCGACTGATTCGTGAACTTGTTTCCAGCTTGTTATCTTTGTATTGGAAATGTCGAGGTGGCGGCATTTCGGAGTTTCCTGGAGAATCGTTTCCCTTGACAAAGAAACTACTGGAAAATCGGTTATTGAGACGGAACGTAGCTCCGTCGTCGGCGTTTCGATCAAAAACAACGCCGAGCTGTTCATTGCTCCGACTTTTTCCTCCAACTCCGTGTTTCTCTCGAACTGAGCTATCAGCGCTTCTTCCAAGCTCATTTCTTCGACAATTTTTGAAGGCTTGACGAAGCTGCCGAAGTTCTGCGCGCACTCAAAGTACCGCTTTCCTTTGTGTGTTCCATCGCGCTTGCCAATCGGCTCGACGTAGAATATCCCGATCCAGCAGTCTTCTGGTCGACCTTCGATTGCACCTTCGTAGGCCATCGTGGCCATTTGCATCGAGGTTTTATGCCTAACCCCGATTTTATCGCCGACACAGACCATTCTTCAGAAACAAAAAATGATTGATGAGCGGAAGAATAAAGAAGCTTTATTGGAATGTGAAAAGAGGTGAATACAGTGGTGTTTATGGGCAGTAAGTTACTACCAGTAACTGTAAAGCGGAGTCTGGTGAACCGTGAAAAGAGGTTTAACTTGAACTTTTTTCTTTTTGAAGTTTATCTTGGGTAAAATGCTTCTTCTGAAGGCGCTGCTTGCGATTTTCGCCGATAAGGACTGCAGATTTCGATGATTTCAGGAAGCTTACCAAGGACAAGCGTTTATAGAGGACATGTGCTCATATATTACCGTTATTTTTCGTCTACGTAGAAGTTGTTGTAGTCGTAAACATTGGAGAAGCGCTCAATTCCGAGATTAACCTCCAAGGAGCGCATGAGATCGCAGAAAAAGCGCACAGAATCTCTGAATGATTTTCCAGGAGCGAAAGCGCTAGAACGAAGAGCTGTTAGTTCAGGTCTTCGCAAAGGAAGCTTACGTATTAAGAAGCTCTTCGTCATCGGCGACCAGGTATTTGCCGAAGCAGACACAGAACATGACGATATTGCTCATCATTTTGTTCTTGTGCGCAAGGAAGCGTTTCATACATCATTTATCATTAGTGAGCAAGCAGCCAGTTTTAATTTGATGTAGGTATTCATCGTGCGCTGGGAGAAAAAGTATTTTTCAAGGACTAAAATCTTTCTTTACCTTTTTTCAGCGAGTCGATTGTTAGCTCTCCAGCACGCTTCAATTTCTCCAGGTCCTCCTCGAGCTTCTTCCACTGCGCTTGCATCATGAACGTACAGATGAAGTTGTAATACTGGCCGACAAAGACTGTCATCTCATTTCTGATCAGATTCAGCTTTCGCAACTCGTACGTAAGCGTTTGGCCTCGCTGCGAGTATGTAATCGATTGTAAATTCCGAATCGCAAATAGCATGTCTTGAATATTTAATAAAGCGTGTCCCGCTCGTTCATTGAGCTTACCCAATAGGAATTTGTTGACTTCTCTGTATGGCACTGTCCAAGTAGAGCGAAAGTCCTTTCAGATTTGAAAGCGGACTTTTATTCTCGGAGCGATTCTTGGCAAAATCTTTGTACAGCTTGTCGATGTGCTTTTGCGATTCGATCATGTTCGTTGGGTCTGCCCTCAAATGCCGACGGCCGGGTGTATGGCGCTGAGGTTATACATGCATAACCAGGTCATGCACTCTTAATAAAATCATATAAATTGATATGTAACAGATAGTTCAAATGAGTCTTTTGGAACCAATTTAGCCTCAAATTGCTCCAATTTAAATCGAGAATGCATAACCAGGTTATGAAAAATCCAGGAAAATGCATAACCTGGTTATGGCATAACCTCAGCGCCCGACACCCTGTTTTTCTTGGAAGTTAGACGTTTGATGGAGACAAATCTTGCTTAGAGGCTATGCTAGAGCTTTGTACGCCGCGGCGATAGAGGGAAAGTCACGAAGTCCACTTGGATCTAGCCTCTGAGCGCCGTCGAGGAGACTAGAAAAGCCTGTGATTCCTCCCATCGCTTTGTAAATGCAATCAATTCCGATCGGTTTTACAGCAGCAGCGCGTTCTTCTCTCGATTCCACGACCAAACGGTGAGGGGTGACGGGCGGCCACGTTCTGCCAGAACGGCGTTCTGCAAATGTAGAATGGCGTTCTGCATAAGGATTTTTTGAACGATGTAACTTGATTCATATCAGTTTAAACGCATTCAGCTTAGTTTAAAGAGTAACTCCTGATTTTAGAAATTCTGAGATTCCCTTTAAGTCACGCGCGGAGCGCAATTATTTTTTGAGTGCAAAACGCCGTTCTGTTCATTTGCAGAACGCCGTTCTGCTGCAGAATGTGGCCGCCCTACACCCAACGGTGAGCTGGCGCGAGTTTTCCGCAAGAGCAGCGGGCAGCTGTCATGAAGCCAGGGCATTTCGAGCACTAGAATTTATTTTTACCATCTTTTTATTCAAAAACATATTACATAATTGAATAATTGTATTTTTCTGAAACACCTTTAGGCACTTAAATGGCGCCACTTTCGCATTATGAACACTTGTTTCACACTTGCATCTTCCGCATCTGAGTTGTCGTGGACCATTTGCCGGCACATATGTAAATCATTTGCATCCGCAGCTAAAAGTGAATGAAAATGAATACGGAGATGAATGAAGACATACTCGGCGCAAGGAATTTTCTTCTTCTTTTCATTTATCCCCGCCACATCCGTCTGGTGTCGTTTGTACCGGCACTGACAGAGGCATTTTGTTTCTGGGCCGATGAGTATGATCAATATCGGACAAGCTGTTCGGCTCACGACCGTATTTGATCCTGAAGTCGTCTTTCAGTAGATTGATCACATAATCTTCTTTGGCCATCACTTCTTTGGCCAACAGCTCGTACAGCTCCTGAATCCGATTCATTCTAACAGATTCAAAGTTGAAGCCCCGTAAATGAAGAAATCTCAAAGACACTGAGTAAAGAAAGTTATATTTACAAAATTAATTTGAAAAGGGCAAGCATAAACATAGAGAAAAACACTAGAACTGAATAAAAGAGTAGTTTGAAGCCAACGCCTGCGCTTCTGCAGTAAGTTTGTTGATTCTCAAATCGACGATTGCATTTCCACTGAATCGGTCCAAATGCTCAGCTGACAATTCTTCGAAGCAGTTGTTCGACAAATTGATGACTTTCAAATCGGGCAGCTCCACCATCGCTACGGGAAAGCGCGAAAACAGGTTTCGTTCCAAATTCAAATGCTCCACTATTTGAAGCTTTTAGTTTAAATTCTAAAAAAAGAGAACTTACGCTTTGAATATTTCTTGAAATCGGTCGGGAGCGATTCTAGCTGGTTCCCAGACAAGTTGATTCTTTTCACTTCTGGTCCGGCCAGTTTAATCACGCCGATTGGAAACTTTCTCAGGCCGCAATTTGAAAGGTTCAAGATGCCTGTTTCTCTAGCTTCAATCGCCGCTTGAATAAAAAAAAAAACAACAAATGAAATGGTTGAACTATTACCTTTTGCTATTTTCGACGGGTCGTTATTCAGGCCACTTTCATTGACAGGAATTGATATTTGACGAGTAAAACTGGGAACTGGCGGCGGTGGCGGAGGTTCAACTCGTGGGGCCGATTCCATTTTACAATTTTGTTCGTTTGAAAATGGGAGATTCTATTTTGAAGATTCGTTGTTTTTTTTCTTTACATTTTTACAAATTTCAGTTGAAAAGTTCAAGAATCTTTTCGAGTTTCGGCGGCAGTTTTGATAAACTTACGAGGGGTTTCTTAATCGAAAAAAAATCTCGATACAGTAATGATTTAAAAGCCCCGTTTCTTGTATTGCTTTGAAGAATAATGGACGATGTTAAAAAGTAAAAGGGATGAAAATACACAAGTTGGGTAAAGGCCTTTCGATCCAACTGGGTTCTTCCAATTTTAGAAAGAGCATGATGGTGAACAAGCCCGAGAATATTCCATTCAATAAGTTGGTGATTCCAAGCTCGAACTGAAATTGAAAGTGGGAAATTCTGTGGGAAATCGAGTTCTGAGGAGATTTGACGAGAGCGTCCGACAGATCTAAACCGTGAAAATCGAGGAGGGATGGGAAGTGGCCTCGATTTCTTGTTTAGATACATGCCGAGAGCACCAGCTGGGCTTGGCATTTTTTTTCTCAGAGCTTGTTCTGCTTTTGTCACCAGCGGGTTGATTGGTTGCTATCTCGAGTCACCAGATGGCGCCACGTGCATTAAAATTCAGAATAAAAAGGTTTGGAATCAAGCAAAAAAATAAAACAGAAATATGAGATTTTCAAAGATTCTAGCTTTGAGAATCACTGCTACTTCTTCGGCAAAAAAACGGAGAATCAAATCAAGCTAGAAGTCTTCCAATTCGAGCGAATGCAAGATCTTCTCGCCAGATCAACTGTGGAACACAGCAGAACAAGCCATAAGAATTTGCTATAGATCTTCGAATATACAACCAGTACTTACATCCTTCAACGCTTCGTTATTATTCGCACACTTGTTTTCTGATAAATGCGCGATCGCTGTTGTAATCACCAAGAAATCGAGAATCCAAATCGGCGAGAAAATGAATGACCATTTCAATCTGCTGCTCGCTAATGACAACTTTATTTTTGAATTCAACAAATGAATTTCGAAGATTGAAAATTTGAAAAAACGATCAATTGCATTAATTCTGGATCTTCTCCGATCAGCCCGCTTTCGTGAGCTCCAACGGGGTTGAAATACCTTTGGCTGAATCACACCTGTCCTCGCCTTTGAAGAGGTCGGCTGGACCACCTTCTTCGCTTCCTCTTTCTTTGGTGCACCAGGCTTTCTCTCACTTTGGCTCAAGCCAGTCTTCGCAAATGCGCCGAATTGACTCGCAGAAGGTGAAGTAGTACCAGGTCGTGGCTTGGCTGAAGCTGGCCGCGGTGGAATCGAACTCTTCGCACTCATCGTTCTTGGCTTTGGCGCAAATCAAGTAGCAAATCGCGAATTCAGCGTGCTCTTCGCTCGATCAACCACACTCTTACTCAAAAAGTAAGAACTGGTTTTGCCGGTTTCGCGCTAGATCCAAAAGCGGGACGAGCACAGACTGGACGTTTTGGCGCGCTGACAGTTGCTGATTTTGTCGTCGTCTTCGTCGCGACTGTTGGCCGACCTCGAGCAGCTGTTTCTGTTCTTGATTTCATCGCTGTCGGCTTCGAAAGAGCCGTTGCTGGGCGAGAAGCGAGCTTTTTCGGCGGCTGGAAACAAAAGCGCGAAGAACATGACTGACCAGAAGCAGCTTTGCTCACGACCGGCTTGGTGGCTTCTTTCTTGCAAAGAGATGCAGCGATGCCGTACTTTGGTTTGCTAAATTTTGACGAGAAGCCGGGCTTCGGCATCTCTCTCTCTTCTTCTCTTCCGGCGCCTTTTCTGCTCCCTTTTTCGGCGTTTCGGCGCTGGAACTCGCTATGCCTCGGATGAAGCTCGGCGTGGTTGCAGTGTTGAACTGGGGCACGGAGATCATCGTTTTTGTCTTTTCACTGTTCCAGAGATGAAGAACTGGGGATATCTTTCAAGCCGAGCTACTGCCGAGTAGACTTGGCAACCTGTGTGAAAAAACCTGAGTCAGGGTTTGAAAATATAAAATGAAAAGCCGCGGAGCAGCTTTTTCGAAACCGAAGCCGCTTTTGCGGCTTCGCACGATTCCATTTTTATCAATCTTCAAATTCTGAATATTTCAGACCCTGACTAAGGCCCTGACTCGGGTTTTTTCACAGGTTTTCAAGACTCTTCTTTCTCTCTCTCTTTCTCAAAATCTGAGGAACAGTTCCTTTGCGTGTTCAAAAGCAGCTTCGCGCTCCATGCCGAAGCTGACTGCGATGTTGAGGTTCCGCCTCTTCGCCTTGTCCGCCTGAATAATAGAAAAGGATAATAAAGCTTTGATAAATAGCGAGTGAGCGATGAAACCGCTTTCAGAAAGGTCAATTCCCTTTTTAATTAAAATTACCTTTACAGCAGCTGCGTCGTGGTGAAACAGTTTCCACTCGCTCGAATTTCTGTACCAGTTGAAGCGGGTCGCGTTGACGTCCATTTTGAAGTACTCCGTCATTTTATTATTCGATATGCGATGATTGCTGATCTCGGTTTCAAAAAGAGAGATATTGCTCACTCGTTTGAGGACATTTTGATGATAATAACAATGAATATTTTCCCAAGAAGCATGTCTGGTTTGAATCTCAAACCACGGGAAAAGGAAAAATCACGACAATTTACTGATGTTGAGCTTTTATTGGAACGGATGTGCAAGAAAACTTATCTGATGCCGAGTGGATGGGACATTATTTGTGAGCTCGGGGGCCGAAATTTAAAAGATAGTTTTCCAGATGATCCACAGCCACCAAAATCATTTTGCGAATATAAATCAGGTAATTTTTGAGAAGATATTAGAGCGAAATATCGTGATGATCATCATCTTGTCTTATCAGAGAAGTTTTTTTTTAAATAATTTAAGTTTCTAGTGATTCTCCACCAAGGTTTCGTCTTTACTCGTCCTTTAACAGCAACTGGAGTCTTTCTTCATATAAATGAAGAACAAAAAGAAGAAATATTATTCCATCAAATGACGATCGACAGAGTCGAAAACGGATTTTACATCCTTCAGAATACTCAATTCTTAACAGAATCACCGAAAGCTCACGAAACGCCAACCGTAAAAATACCACTTTCTGATCCCTACTACGTGAACGCCGATGTCTTCCGCTATCATTATCGTTTGAATAGAGAACCAGTTTTGATCGAAAACAGTTATTCAATGGAAATTGTCAATGAAGAACACCCAAGTATGGAAACCGGAAGATGGTATCTTTGTCCTCAAGCCTATTCGCTCGAGCTTATAAAGAAAGATCTTTCCGAAGAAAATTAAATCCCTCTGTAAAAACAAATTTATTAATCAAATCGTTATGTTTTCTCAGCAATAAAATAAATTTTATTCACGACCAACAAATTATTCTATCATCCCTTTCTAAGGATTTTCATCTGTTGATTTTGATTACTGTAAGACCTTATTTTACGCACTCCTGAATTTCACGCTCATAAATGATTCGAAAAAAAGATCAGATTTTAAGACCTCGAAAAACCAGGTTTTTGATGGTTTTTTGAAACAAAACTATCGAAATTTACTCAAAAAATCTTAGTCAGATATTTTTGTATTTGTAAATTGATTTTTGTATAACTGGGAAAAAATGTGTTAGAATCGGCTACTGACAAGATAATAAAAAGAAAAACGGGGACAGAATAATCAAATTGGTCTTCATTTCTGATCGGCCACTCAAAATTTTCAGCCATTATGGCGGCTTTGGTGACGCTCTCCTGTAATAATTGATAGGTCTTTTTATGGGTTTTATTTTTATGATGAGGCCATGTACAGTTCTAGATGAAGTTCATTTTAGAGCTTTTATAGCTGATAACAGTCAACGACTTATTGTTTGCGTAGAAATATCCATATTTACTCCCAGAGTTCCAAAACACGCGAGCGTACGTGCGCACGCGTGCGCGTGTTTGCTCTTCCGAATAAATATCAGTACTCTCGATTTTGAATTCACGCTATCAGAGAACATTTTATGTCGTTTTGAAAGAAGATGAGTTGTAGAAACAACCATCCAAAGCAATTGAGCAGAGCAAAGGTTAAAAACTGGCTTCGAGATTTTTTGCCGAAATTGAAGAGAACAACAACGAGGACTCCTCGGTGCCGGCTGATCTCAAGCGTCGAAAGACATGAAATGATTGATAAAAATGGCGGTGATAGTCACGCTTACTATTGGGGTTATTTTTCATTTAAAGACAATGTTGAAGAATTGTTTGAAATTTATAGTAAAGCGAAAGACTACCTTGATTTTTTTGATCAATCAATCTTTCAGAAGCAACTTTTAGCAGATAATGCTCATCTCTTGGGGAAAATAATAAGCCGATGGGATATTCTCGAAGAAAAAGGATATTGGATTATCGATGGGAGTTTTGAAGACAAAATTATTTCTGAAGGTGGCGAAGCAATTATTATCGCTCAAAATTTCGAAGATCTCAAGACTGCAGTTCGTGTACATGTTTTTGATCCCTTTCTTTTAACGGAAAAATTTGGGAAAGACTTGCTTGATTATGAGATTCATCTTTCTTGCGGTAGTCTAGTCGGTAGACATATTTTCTATTTTCAAGATATTTTTAGACTTTGAAAGAGGAGTTGATAGAAAAAACCGAATAAATCAGGAGCAAAATAAAGCCTTGGAGAAAATGCCTATTCATGCGAATGTTGTTAAGCATTATGCGAACATAGAATTGTTTCACAAGAATGATATTGACCGAGAAGATTGTATTGGATGGATAACAATTATGGAGAAGGCGGAAATGAACATACGGGGATTATTAGAGCAAAATAAGCTCAGCATTAAAGAAAGAAGACAAATAGCGATTGCTATTTATTCTGCTTTTCATCACTTAATGGAGATTGGAATTTTTCATCTTGATTTGAAAATGGAAAATATATTACTGCTGAACGGTGTGCCAAAAATATGTGACTTCGGACTCGTTGAAGACAAAACGAGAAGGCTTGGGTATCGTCAGATGGGATACACTCGGAGCGGTTCAAAATTTAGATTCACACCTGGCCTCTGTAAGTTAAACCAAGCTTTTTAAATTTTAACATATTTTAGTTGCAGGATCACCTGCATTTTCAATTATGACGCAGTTAACAGCTGGCGAATTTATACCCCATTCGATTTGGATATTTTTAATCTGCCACTGGAAGACGGCTTGGAATCTTTTATTCAAACCAATAAGCCATGAAGAGGAAATTGAAATTGATGGCAGAATCAAGGTTTGCTTTTTCTATCAATTTTACATTGAAAATGAATGCAATTATTCAAAGGAATTCAATGGAGAACAGCTCAAAGCAACCTTCATGAATAATAAGTTTTCAAGCGAATTCTTTGAAAATATCGAATTTATTTCTCTTCCCGAAACCGACGATAAATTTTGCCTTGATGACGAGAATCTTACGCGGTCTTGTCAAGTATAATAATCCGGCAAAATCTCCAAAATCCCCATTTCGAATAGACGATAAGCAATTAAGCTACTGTTGCCATTACTCGGGCTGAAAGATTTGTCGATCGAAATGATGAGAATCGTCGCTTATCCTTGTAAATAAAATCCTGAATGATCCAAACATTCAACAATCAGTGGGCGCCTTGCTGCATGACCAACTTCTGAAAGCACTCGCAAACGAGGAGATCCAATTAGCCGTCCAGCGACTTGTCAAGGATGTTTTTCTGTCGGAATCCATCACGGAAACCGTAAAAACGGTACTTGGCGACGCTTTGGTCAGTGATTATGTGAAATCAGCGGCCACGGCGGCAGGAACTCATGCGACTCAAGGCAAAGGTCACAATTAACAAAAATAGAGTCCTCCTTGATTTCGGGGACCCATTCTACCGATAACCGGAAACGATTTTATTTGACCCATTTAAAAGCAATCATCGCCGACCAATCGGTGCAAGATAATTTGTCAGGTACCTATTCTCCGAACTTTCGCCCCTTGAAGTTCGCTTTTATCTCTAATTGCAATCATCAGATGCGATTTATGGTGCATTGAAACCGTGGCGATCGCGATCCACGCGGCAAGTAATTACACCTTCGCCCGCGCGACCCGCCAAGAAAGCTGATGCTATCGATGAAACAGATACTGTCACTGATAAAAGAAGTTCTGCTGTAAGGACGCCCGCCGCGCGCGTTCAAAGCGAGCCGACGCCCGAGCCGAGGATCGACTGACAAGTTCAAACACATAAATCGCACCCATTAATCGGTTGTTCAATAATTTCATGGCTATAAATTAGGCTCTGAATCACACTATCTCCACGGGATATTTCTACTACCTCCTATCAAGGCTCCTTTCAAGTTCACACCGAGTTCAAAATCGATACCTTCATGTACCAAGACAATTCTAACCGGAAATCGAGCATTTTAGCATGACAGACGAACTCAAAACTGTCCTCCAGAATCTGGTCCTCAAGCAAAAAATTGGTGGACTTCTTGGAGTCACGATCATTGACAACTTAGGAAACGATTGATAAAATTCTCGTGCCCCAAAACTGGGATCATGAGGCATTTTTGAAGAATATATGCTGGGTTTTATTTAATCTTTAGTTTGGCCAAGAGAAATTCGGCTGTTGCTGAAGAATTCTCCTTTGACAACGTTAACTCGTCGGTTTTTGCCATCGGGAATTTCCAGTGGAGGTCGGGCACCTTGGTCATCGTTAGAGATGTTTAATTTTAAATGCTTACCGTATTGAGCGTTAGACAAGAGAGGCGTCACTCTTCGAGTTTCTTCCTGATAAACGTTAAGACCGCTGAATGGCAAATCTCATTAATTTGATTGTGGCGATCAATGGCTTACCGCGATTTAGCATTTGACCTGTCATCGCGGTGAAGCTTTGGATCATAATTGCAGTCAGCGTTGAAAATACGGTTGTACTGGCGGTTGTCGATGTTCTTTCGGGAGTGGCTCGTCGTGTCAAACTTGTAGTAGGCGTTGTTGAAGGGACCTAATTTATTAGACAGGGATCAACTTAGATACGAATACCTTCGTTTTGTGCCTTGACCTCTTCATCTTCCAGCCAGGTTCCATTTTTCTGACCGTTTCGCATCGCGATAGTCTTAGTTATTCTCTCTTCTCGGTGACAGTACTCCATCCACTGCCCTGTAAATTTATACCGTAATTAATTAATTATTAAATCCACTATTTACCCATTTTGGTGCCCGGGCTGGGACTTTCTCGGCCATAATTGGACATGCGCATCTTTGCAGAAATCTAAGTTTCCAAAACTGAGGATTTTCTCGCCGCAAACTTTGTTTAGCAGTTATGTTCTAGAAGATAACGTCAAAGTGTCTGTGTATCCGCTCTATCCATAGCTACCGTATTTGCATATAGAATCAAAGAAACTTTCGTACTTATGTTTATTATTAATTGGAAAAAAACGGTAGTTCTGTAAATCGCTTTATCAGGAGTCCCAATTTTTCAGCAGCTCCATCAGTCTTTCGAACAAGCTGAGCGCAAATTTGAGCTCAGTTCGTCCAGATTTCTTTCGCTCAACTCAAACTCTTCAGGTAAACAAACCAAATGAACAGTTCTCACTTATTTCTTTAGGCATTGACAAGCAAATCAACCAAGGCGAAAACCTGTATAATATCGCATTCGGCACCTAGTACCAAACTGTTCAAATCCGAAAACATCCGCTTACGATAATCTTTCTTGCCACCTCAAGTGCTTCCACTGGTTACCAGCCCTTTCAGCAAAAATAACTATTTTTTTTATTTCAGGATTGATTTTAAAGGAGTGGAAAGAGCTCGATACTTACTTTTCTCAGCTGCAGACGAACGCGAGAACGCACCTCCAGATTCAAAACTAGAAGTTAGATAAGCAAATTTTTCATACTCTTCGTTGTTTTCATCATGTCCGCTGCCGATATTATTAAAGCTACGGGATGAGACATTTTAAATATTCTTTTGTTAAACTTGAAATTTAATGTTCATCCTTTTCGTTAGAAACAGAAACTGCGCTCAAAAATTTCTTGAACAAACTTCCCGATCCGAAAAATGAAGAGGTCCGGATTTTCGACCCTTCCGCGATCATCCTTCTTCGAACTTTTCCTCGCTATCAGCAACGACTTGGCACTTTTGATTTGACCAAATGGAGCGGCAAGCCTGCCTGTTTTTCACCTACCTTCTGCGCTATCTACGGCTGGAGCTGTAAAGAAAAGGACGTGTTGAAATGTCCTGATTGTGGAGAAGTTCTCCTTGCTGAGCTACCCCCACGAAATAACGATTACTTCCCGAAGAAAGTCGACCATCTCTTGACCATGCTCCAGTCTGGCCACGCAGACTACTGTGAATTCGCCAATTCGCACGAGCCATTCGAGTTTTTGAAGAAAAACGACTCACCGTATCTGTTCAAAAAACGCCTTCAACCCTTTCCCGGAACGCTCGATTTCCTACCGAAGGTTACATCAGGAATATCGGAAGAAGATCTGGACTTTTTGAGCAGATACTTTTCTTACTGCGTCAAAAATAAGGTGGGAAAGAAACAAGTCAAACTCTTTTTCAATCAAATATTCAGAAATTACAACGCGAGATCATTAACTTGGCCGTCAATGGATGGAGTTTTCACCACGAAGATGAGACCGACTACTTGCTATGCGAGGACGATGTCCGCCAAATTCCGGAACGGTGAAGAAATTCGAGATCTTGAAAGTGTATGTTCCTGTTCTTCTGCAAAGTCTTCACCTTGTCCATTTTTAATGAGTATGAATTATATGATTCGAATAAACTAATTTTATTCTCATCGCAAAAGACGCTAGAAATCTCTTCTGATTTCTGCTAACTCGGTGTAGATCTTTGCAGGAGAGCAGGATGCACTTTTTCATTGAGAGCAAAAGTAGTATACAAAACAGGCACAATACAGAGGCTTTGGGGTCTCCCTATTGTTATTTTTGTCGTTTTCATGAAGGATTTTATTGATACAGAAAATATTTTTAGAAAGCATTTTAAGCGCACCTGTACGAAATTATATAGAATATAGTTCGACTACAGCTAATTATCAGGATGAAAAAGTTACAGTAACTTTTCAAGCGTATGTTGTATCTTGGTATATAGAATTGTTTTATTTTGCGCACGAAGTCAGAAAGTTAGAAATGGTCCAAAAATAGTGGAAGAGAATAAAAATATAATAGTTTTAGTATATAGAAGGAAGTAAAGACTAAATTCAAACTAAACACTACTGTACTTGTTCCCAGATACAGTTGTGTTTAATTTCGAACTCGTCTTGTGTTAGGAACAACTTTAGGCACATCAGGATATTATATGGTTATTGCACTTATTTGAACAAAAGTAAAATAAGGATTATTTTTTGCATTCAATCTTCATCTGGGCTGAGAGATGACAATAGAAATTTTATCTAAAAGAAAATGGATGATAGGGAAAATGATTTCTGCTCTGCAGGCTGCTCGGCAGTTTCAGTATCGCCTGCTTCAGTGGGTGCTGGGTTAGTTTCGGTGGTGGGTTCGGCTACTTGCTCGTCTTCAGGGTTAACGTCGGGCAATTCAGATGCCTCGGTGGCTAGTGATGTGGATTAGTAAATGTGAAATTCTGCTGGGATTAGTTTAATTGTTTTTCTAAATTCTTACCTTCAGTACCGGCCTCGGAGGCTTCCGGCATAACAGTCTTAGGATCATCAATCTGTGGGGTTTCTTCTGTGATCGACAGTTCCGCATTGTCAGTAATCAGGTCTTTATTCACTAGTTCTTCATTTACCTCTTCGTGAATTTCGGTCACATCTGCGGTCATATCTTCAGTAACCTCGCTAAGCGCGTTTGTTTCTGAGTTGTTATTCGCATTTGCGTTTTCCTCGATGTTGAGCGTCTTGTTCTCGGGAACAATGATTTCCTCTCGCGCTTCTTGGGAGCTAACTTGGGAAGCGGTCTCATCACCCTTTCGCCTGAAGCTGACCTTGGTCGCTAAAGCGTTTTCGATGAGAGTAACATCTTTGTTTTCCTCGTCGTCAGAGTCTTTCAAGTCCTCCTTGAAGTTTTCAATGACCTTCATTTTATCCGAAACGATAGAGAATGTTCGACCTTGAGTCTCTTCAACCGGCTGTTTTCCTCCAGAGATCCAGGACCAAACTGGCCAGATGATTCCACCCTCGGCGATGCGCTTCTCCTTTTCTTCCTCGAGGGACTTCTCGGCATTCGCGAGCGCTTCCATCATTCTTCGCTTGACCTCTTCATTTCGTCTGTATTCTTCTTCTGCACGGATTCCGAGCTCGCAAATCGAGTTGATCATGTTTTCGATGTCAATTTCTGCAGGAATTTCATCAATAGCAATGACGATATTTTCGCCAGCTTTAGCAAGTGTAAATCCTACTCCAGAGTCGAGTTCTTTGAGACACCGGAAGACCTCTTGATTGATCACATCAGCGGGCGCCGCCTTTGGGATAATGGCGATCGCGCCAAGCTTGAGATCCTCATTCGGTTCTAAGAAGAGCTTGATATCGCTGCGGGCGCTCGTTGATCGCCACAGATCCCACGCTTGATCGAAATACGATTCTATTGATGGTAAGA